AATGTGGACTTCTAATGTTAGGCTCACTTTAAAACTGACAAACACTTTGGGATACATGGTGTTACAGTATAACATGAGATGGTTTTATTTTAATGGGGATTTTTTTAAAAAAAATTGAAAACACAAACAAATATAATTTTATCTTATAGATACTTGGTTCCACATGTTCCACCAAGGGAGTAATGGAAGCAAAAATAGAGGAGGTAATGACTTAAGAAAAACGACTGGTAGATTTGAATTCTAATAAAAAACAAAGTCTGTTTCACAGTTTCCTTTTATAAGAACACAGTTTGAATTGACTAGTTTTAATGAATTTCCATCTGGCTGCCTTCAAGTGTGTAGAAAACTAATTTCTGTGCATGACTGTAAAGGGAAACATATATTTATTAACAGTTGTTTTATTATACAATTTAAATAAATAAGATCATTAATATAACATTTTATCTCCAGAAATAATGAGTTGTGAATGTATTAAAATTAACATAAAATTACATATACTGTAAGTGGCTTCAAATTTATTCCGTTCTTTTTTTTAATGACTTTAACCACCTAAACTAGTATTGGCAAAGCGGATTTTCAGCCATTTTTGTGTTTATTAAAGTCAGCAGCTACAAAAACTGTGACGTTGTAGCCTGGGCAACAGACCAGAAGTGGCAGTGTTGCCATACTAGCTAGACCAGAGGAAGAATGGACCACAAGACATTCTCTCACCAATAGGATGAGGTGTTTCAAAGTTCCTGGCTTCCTTATCAAAAATCTTTTTTCTATATATGAGTCACAGTGATCCTATAACAAGGACTTCAGTGCAGGAGACAGATGGGTGCCTTCAACTTCTTATAAAAAAAAATTAGCATGGCTTACAAATATTCTCTTGAATGATCAGAAGATGCCTTTCCTATGGTTGGGGACCTGCACACTCTTCTTCTGGCTGGTCCTCCTCCTTACACTGATTACAGTTTCAGTCAGTCAGTGTCCTCTCTCACGAATCATGGCATTTTCCACACATAGTGTACAGTGTTGCTGGGCAGTGGGTGCTGTTGAGGTTGATGCTGTAATCATAGGACATTGCCTGGGACACAGCATTGGCAGGACAGAAGACCAAAACGTGGGACTGTCCTGGCAAACCCAGGACAGTTGGCATCTAAGAGTATGATAGAATAAAAGTGGGGGATGATTATTTGTGGCAGCCATGAAGAATTGTTCATCCATCATGTGCTTAAGATCATGAGGCTTTAGCTGGGTCAGTTCGGTAGGAAACAGCTGACTTTCGACCCATGTGTACAGCTGTCTGTTCTACAGAAGCAGGTCTTACAACTGGCTTTAGTCAAATGGGCATGCTGGAAAACCTGCATCTGACTCACATCCGATCAGTGCTGGCAACCCTGACAGAATACAAAGGCACAGTAGGGAAGATCACCACACTAACATCGCTTGTGTTAGTACGCTGATCTCTCAGTTCTTTTTCTTTTAGCCTGCTGGGTTGAGGGAAAAAAATCTTTAATGTGTACCCAACTCTAGTATATCAACATGTTATTATCCATTTTTGTATCTACAACAAATGGCATAAAGCCACATAAAGGTTTCACACTTTTGTCAAATTTGTATTGCTGTACAGAGTATAATAAGTTGTAAATAGTGTTTATTATGTGTCAAGTTATTCTATCTTTGTACAGCTCTTAAATTAAAATTGTGCTAAAAGAAATAGACAGATGATGGCTATTCCTGACCATCCCCCCTTCTGAAATGCTATTTTCCTGGCTGTTCTGCTGATCCTATTGCTTAGGATTTGTCGAGTCGGTGAACAATCATGCAGATCAGGATTTCTGACTGCACACCAATTCATACTCATTCTTGGTCAGTGACTCACAAAATATCGAATGTAAAGATGTGAAGCTAGGCAGCCAGCCAGCATTTTCAGAAGAAGGTCAGCAATAGCAGTCCTCCTATTTTTGTCAGCATAGGTTTTGTTTAAGATATGAATTGTTCCAAATGATAAGAGTTCAGGCTTTGCTTGTTAACTTTGAGAAACTGCAAAATGCTTTTTATATGAACTTTCCTTAGAAAACCATGTGCAGCTATATTTCAACAATTATATGAAACAAAATTCTCTAATTTTCAGTGAACACAAGGATACTTTAAAAGCATGAATAGCCATAAAAAAATAAGCTTGTCCCAAAGCAGTTAATATTGTTGTCTTCCCAATAGTGGAGTTATATTTTTCAAATGTTCCATGCAAAAACATACACATTCCTCTTTCTGTGAAGGCAGCCATTTTTGGGCGATGCCATAATTACATAGTTAATCTGGTTGAAAAAAGACACATGTCCATCCAGTTCAACCAATAGAAAGGAAAAAAAAAATATACAGTCCTATATACACAATCCTATACCTATAGTTGATCCAAAAGAAGGCAAAAAAAAACCCAACAAAGCTTAATGCAATTTGCTCCAGGAGGGGAAAAATCCCTTCCTGATCCCCCAAGAGGCAATCAGATATTCCCTGGCTCAACTTTACCTATAATTATTGGTATCCAGTTATATTATGTGCATTTTGGAAATAATTCAGACCTTTTTGAAAGCAATCTACGGAACTGGTCTGAACCAGCTCTACATTTTCACAGCTCTTACTGTGAAAAAACCTTTCCATATTTGGAGAATAAATCTCTTTTCCTCCAGGCTTAAAGAGTGCCCCCTTGTCATCTGTAATGCCCTTAAGGTGAATAACTCTACCCCAAGTTCAGTATATGAACCACTGATGTATTTATACATGTTGATCATATCCCCTATTAATCTCCTCTTCTCAAGAGAGAATAAATTCAGTTCCTCTAACATTTCCTCATAGCATAGTTCCTCCATGCCTCCTATCAGTTTGGTTGCCCTTCTCTGCACTTTCTCAAATTCCCCAACATCCTTTTTTGTGAATTGGTACCCAAAACTGATCTGCATATTCCAGATGAGGTATTACTAAATATTTGTATAGGGGTAAAATTATCTCTCTCTCTCTCTCTCTGGAGTCTATACCTATCTTAATACAAGAAAGGAATTTGGAAGCTGCAGCTTGGCATTGCATGCCATTATTAAGCTTAGGATCTACCAGAATACCCAGATCCTTCGCCACCATTGATTCCCCCAGTTGTAATCCTCCTAGTTAGTATGTATGATGCATGCGTATTCATAGCTCTCAAGTGCATACCTTTACATTTATCAATTTGTCACATAATTGCCCAATTAAACAGTGCATTGAGGCTGGCTTGTAAGATTGAGACATCCTGTCAGGATGTTATTCCATTGCATAGCTTGGTGTCATCTGCAAAGGCTGAAATGGTACATTTAATCCCACACCCCCTCTACAGTATCATTTATAAATATATTAAAAAGTAAGGGTCCTAACATTGAACCTTGGGGTACACCACTCAGAGTATGAATTAGTAACCACTGCTTTCTAAATGCTGTCTTTTATCCAGTTTCCTATCCATTTACAAACTTATTTTTCCAAGCTCATAGACTTTACCTTACCTATTAGCCATGTGTAGGAAACTGTGTAAAACGCTTTTGCAAAATCCAAGTATACTACTTCCACAGCTACACCTTTGTCTTAGGTTTTGCTTACCTCCTCAAAAAAAGAAAACATATTTGTTTGATAACCTCTGTTTTTCATGAATCCATGCTGTCTGTTGCTTAAAATATTTTTTTTTTCCTGCAATAACTCATATATGTGGTCTTTACTTAAACTTTCCAGTATCTTCCCAACTATAGAAGTTAAACTAACAGGTCTATAGTTAGTTGGTAAAGACGTTTACCCCATTTTAAATATAGGCACCACATTGGCCTTAAGCCAATCCAGTAGTACTATGCCAGTCATTAAAGAGTCTCTAAAAATTAGAAAAAATTGCTTTGAAAGGATAGAGCTCAATTCTTTTAAGACCTGTGGGCATATGCCATCTGGTCCTGGTGCTTTTGTCACCTTTATTCTGTCTAAATATTTCTGGACCATATCAATTTTGAGCCATTATGGCTCATTTGGAGCTGTGTTAATATCATCCACATTATGGATATGAGCCCCCCCCCCCATTCTCCTTTGTATACACAGAGCTGAAAAAGGTATTAAATAAATTTGCCTTCTCTTTGTTGCCAGTCACCCACTCTATGTTATTTTGTAAAGGGCCTATATGCTCAGACCTGACCTTTTTGCTATTAATATATTTGAAGATTTTTGGGGGTCATTCTAACTTTTGCAATCTGTAGCTCGTTTTGAATTTTTGCTGCCCTTATTCCCTTCTTGCATTAGTTGTTTATACTGTATTTCTTGTAAGAAATAAATGGTCATATTGTTCCTTCATTTTTATATTTTTAAAAGCCACACAGGTTTATTTTTAGCTGTTTAAACTTATTGCCCATGGGAATATATTTTTGCTTCACATACGGTCTTTTTAAAGAGTTCCCATTTCTGTTCTGTGTTTTGTATTTCCTCCTAGTCTAAATCTTGAGAGCAGCCCTCATTCTTGGAAAATTTGCTCTCTTAAAGTTGAGTGTTTTTATCTTTCCAGTATGTGCTTGTTGTTTACAGCTAACATTAAATGAAACCATGTTATGGTCATTGCTAGAGATGAGCGAATCGAACTTGGCGAAGTGGAATTCGTTTAGAATATTAGGAAAAATTTGATTCGCGCCGAATCCGAAAATTAGCAAACTTCGGATGCACGAATCGAATTTTCCCCGATCAGCCGATTTACATCCCTTCTACAGCCGGCAAAAAGTGTCCCTGCAGAGAGCTCCGCTATTTCTGACAGTTCTCTGACAGTTCCTTCACATTTACAGCGGTTGAAACATTGTATCTATTTGTTTCCATTTAGGATACAGATGTTTTTATTCGGAAACAAATAGATACAATGTTTCAACCGCTGTAAATGTGAAGGAACTGTCAGAGAACTGTCAGAAATAGCGGAGCTCTCTGCAGATACACTTTTTGCTGGACTGGAATTCTTCTTATTTTCATCCTACTTCTTCTTCTTCTTCTTCATCCTCATCCTCTTCTTCTTCTTCTTCTTCATCCTCATCCTCTTCTTCTTCTTCTTCTTCTTCATCCTCATCCTCTTCCTCTTCTTCTTCTTCTTCATCCTCATCCTCTTCTTCATCCTCATTCTCTTCTTCTTCATCCTCATCCTCTTCTTCTTCATCCTCATCCTCTTCTTTTCATCATCCTCATCCTCTTCTTCTTCTTCTTCTTCTTCTTCTTCTCATCCTCTTCTTCTTCTTCTTCTTCATCATCCTCATCCTCTTCTTTCTTCTTCTTCTTCTTCCTCACCATCATCCTCTTCTTCTTCTCATCCTCATCCTCTTCTTCATCATCATTCTTCTTCTTCTTCTTCTTCTTCTTCTTTCATCCTCATCCTCTTCTTCTTCTTCCTCATCCTCTTTCTTCTTCTTCTTCTTCTTCATCCTCATCCTCTTCCTCTTTCTTCTTCATCCTCATCCTCTTCTTCATCCTCATTCTCTTCTTCTTCATCCTCATCCTCTTCTTCTTCATCCTCATCCTCTTCTTCTTCTTCATCCTCATCCTCTTCTTCTTCTTCTTCTTCTTCTTCTTCTTCTCCTCCTCCTCCTCCTCTTCTTCTTCTTCTTCTTCTTCTTCTTCGTCTTCATCAATCTCATCCTCTTCTTCTTCTTCTTCCTCACCATCATCTTCTTCTTCATCATCATCCTCATCCTCTTCTTCATCCTCTTCTTCTTCTTCATCCTCATCCTCTTCTTCTCCTTCTTCTTCTTCCTCATCCTCATCCTCTTCTTCTTCTTCTTCATCCTCATCCTCTTCTTCTTCTTCTTCTTCATCCTCATCCTCTTCTTCTCCTTCTTCTTCTTCTTCCTCATCCTCATCCTCCTCTTCTTCTTCTTCATCCTCATCCTCTTCTTCTTCTTCTTCTTCTTCATCCTCATCTTCTTCTTCTTCTTCTTCATCCTCATCTCTTCTTCTTCTTCTTCTTCTTCTTCTTCTTCTTCTTCATCCTCATCCTCTCTTCTTCTTCTTCTTCATCCTCATCTTCTTCTTCTTCTTCATCCTCATTCTCATCCTTTCTTCTTCTTCTTCTTCTTCATCCTCATCCTCTTCTTCTTCATCCTCATCCTCTTCTTCTTCATCATCCTCATCCTCTTCTTCTTCTTCTTCATCCTCATCCTCTTCTTCTTCTTCTTCTTCATCCTCATCCTCTTCTTCTTCTTCCTCATCCTCTTCTTCTTCTTCTTCATCCTCATCCTCTTCTTCTTCTTCTTCTTCTTCCTCATCCTCACCATCATCCTATTCTTCTTCTTCATCCTCATCCTCTTCTTTCTTCTTCTTCTTCTTCATCCTCATCCTCTTCTTCTTCTTCATCCTTATCCTCTTCTTCTTCTTCTTCATCCTCATCCTCTTCTTCTTCATCCTCATCCTCTTCTTCTTCTTCTTCTTCCTCATCCTCTTCTTCTTCTTCTTCTTCTTCATCCTCATCCTCTTCCTCTTCTTCTTCTTCTTCTTTTTCATCCTCATCCTCTTCTTCATCCTCATTCTCTTCATCCTCATCCTCTTCTTCTTCATCCTCATCCTCTTCTTCTTCATCATCCTCATCCTCTTCTTCTTCTTCTTCTTCTTCATCATCCTCATCCTCCTCTTCTTCTTCTTCTTCTTCTTCTTCTTCTTCATCATCTCATCCTCTTCTTCTTCTTCTTCTTCTTCTTTCTTCTTCTTCTCACCATCATCCTCTTCTTCTTCTTCTTCATCCTCATCCTCTTCTTCATCCTCATCCTCATCCTCTTCTTCTTCTTCATCCTCATGCCATTGGACTCTTGATAGTCGTCTCCCACGCTGCTGCTGGGGGGACTTTTTAACCTAGGCCTGTGTATGGCCTTCAATTGAAGCTGCTTCTGCTCCGCCACTCTGCCATTGGACTCTTGATAGTCGTCTCCCCACACTGCTGCTGGGGGGACTTTTTAACATAGGCCTCTGTATGGCCTTCAATTTAAGCTGCTTACGCTTTGCCACTCTGCCATGGGCCCCTGTACCGCCTCCTCATGTTGCTGCCAGGCCCGTAATCTGCCATGGGCCCCCGTACCGCCTCCTCATGCTGCTGCCAGGTCCAGAGTGTGTCATGGGTCCCTGTACAGCCTCCCATTGCTGCTGTCTCCATCGCCACACTCTGCCATGTGCCACTTTCAGGTCTCCTCACACTGCTGGTGGGTTCCATTTTGTCATAGGGTGCTGTATGGCCTCCCATTGCTGCTGCCTCCACCGCCACACTGTGGCTCCACACTCTGGTTTTGGCCCCGTGACTGCCCAAATGAGTGAAGTGTGCGGTGATTCTAAGATCGACGGCACTCATCTGCATGTCATACTGACTGACAGTATTATTTCTCTTCCCCAGCAGACTCCAAGGGCATTTAAATTAAAGGTACAGTGTTCTGCACTAATATAAAGGCTCTCTGAAGCCTAGAAACCCTTTTAATAAGTTAAATTCGCAGCGAATAAATTCGCATTGAATCAAATTTATTCCGCAAATTCGGCGAATCAGCCGAATCGAATTTTTGAATAATTCGCTCATCTCTAGTCATTGCTACCCAGATATTCTTTTTGAGATTAGCATGAAATGCTTGTAATACATTTGTTAGGATTTAAAAAAAATAAATAAAAGTGTATTAAGGTTAGATTTACATAAAAATGAAGTAAGAGAGCAATACTATTGAAATAATCTCTAGGTGTAAGAATAGTAAAATTTATTCAACTCATTATCCAACGTTAAGAACAACATATTAAACAAAATGAAGCTAAATAAGTTCAAACTACAGTATATGAAGCAGTTATAGTCAAACAAACAAGTAAGCAACCTTACGAAAGCAGATATTTCTGGCCAGCAGTCACAATAAGGGACACGATAGCAAACAGGAGTATGCAAATAAAGCCTAAACAATTACACTTACATTACTATTAGTCCCAAAAATGAAGTATTATTTTCATTTTATTTTAATTTTAAAGTAAGAATAAGAAATAAGAATAAAGTAATCTATACTAGGCAAAATAATATTTTTGGAGAGCTAGAAAATTCTATTCATGCAGTTTACAAAATGTAAAATTATTATCATTAATCATAGCATGTTCCTCCAAACTTAGTTCAGTTCATCAATCCATTCTCTTATTAAAGCGGTATTAGAAGATTTTCAATATCTAGGAATTATCTGTAAATTAAGGTTCAGCTAGCTAAAATAAAGAATCTAAGACTTTTTAAAAATATTTTTATAGAATCTTGGATCACCGAAAGAGAGTGATTTCAGGTAATTCAGGCCAAATGTTCTTTTGTGATTAGGTGGCTCAATCAAAATATGGTTCTACAGAAGGATCAGATAGCATGACAAGATCACCATACATAGAGATGTGCATTGCCTGGCTCACAGCATTTCCAGCATCAGCCAGGAATGGAAAGATTTATTTTACGAATTATGAAGGGGTTTTATACCACTTATACAATAGTTTGCAGTTTCTCACTTGATTATGAGAAGCATTAGAAAGTTTGAATGTGAGTAAGAAGGCTTTGTCCCAAGTTTTAACTGATGGAGTACATCCCAATTCCCTCTCCCAGTCTTGAACATAGAAAGGACGATCAGGGAAAGCACTAGAAAGCAATATGTTATAGATTTTTGAAATTGCATGAGAGCTATCTTTACCAAGAAGGAATAGCTTTTAAGATGAAGTCAGTTGTGCATGCAAATTACTCTTGGAATGTTGAGTGTAAAAATGTGGTAGCATGAGCCATCAACCGTGAGTGGAAAGAGATGAATCTGTGAGGTCGTGAAGGGTTTCAAGTCAGAAGAACGTAATGCTTGGTAAATGGGAGATTTACCATTTTAAAAAAAATTGTTAAAATACATTTCTGGCAGAAAGTCAGGAGTTACCAATATAGGAGTCATTGGGCCAGGGAAGGATGAAATAGAATATCTACGAATCATAGAATCCCAGATTTGTAAACAGGGAACAGGAAGGAATGGAATAATGTAGAGGGGTGATTTTGAGGGCAAATCCAGGGGAGTGAAGTCAATGATGAAATGTCTTTCTCAAAGTTCACCCATTGTTTATTTTGAGCATGATGATGCCAATCAATGATTCTACATAATATAGCAGAAGCATGATATAATTCAGGATAAGGGAGTCCAGCAACACCATTGGATTTATGCTTCACTAAAATGTCACTAAAATGTCATAATGAATTTGTACTGTGGAATGGGGCCATAACTAATTAATGCCGAACAGGCAATTTGAAAAAAAAATAAGTGGGGGGCATAAATCTGTATAGTCTGAATGATCAAAAGAAACTTGAGTAGAATATCCATTTTGAAAACGGACAGGCGACCCATCCAAGAATGCTTTAAATAAGACCAATTTTTCAGTTTGTTGTGCATAGAGTTGAGAATTGGTAAGTATGTGAATACCCAAATATTTAATGGAGACATTGGTCCAGTGAAAGGGAAATCTATCTTGAATGAGTTGTTGATCAAGAGTAGTCAATAAGACACTGAGACAATGAGATTTTGAGGTGTTTATTTTAAAATTACTAAAAAAGCCAAAAAGCTTAAACTCTTGGAGTAATTATGGAAATGTAGTTTTGGGATTGGAGATTTCTAATAATTTATCATCGATGAATAAACTTAATTTACAATGTTTATCTTTAACATAAATTAATTTGATTGAATCATTAGCTCTTAACGCATTGGCAAAGTGTGCCATGGCAATTATATACAATAATGGTGATAGAGGGCAGTCTTGGAGTGTTACATATTTTTAACCAGGACAAGGGTGGATAAAAGGCCATTAACTTGAATCCGTGAGGTAGGGCAGGAATATAAGGCCATCATTTTGTAAAGGAAAACTGAGGGTAATTCTATATGTTCTCAAAAATGCACAGTTAAAGCGATCAAACACCTTCTCAGTGTCCAAGGACAGAAGCAAAAGAGTAATTTATGAATATGAGAAAAGATGAGAAATATACATATATATCATATATGTCATGGGCTTTGCGTTTGGGTAGAATTCCTGCTTGGTCTAAATATATCACTGAAGGATTAAATGGTAATAGTCTATTTGCAAAGATGTTGGTGTATATTTTTAGATCGACATTAATGAGGGAAATAGGCTGGTAGCTA